GGGCAGCTGGGGTTGAGACAGAGCTCTGCCCTGTTACCTCTACAAGCTGAAGTGTCACCTAAATTTTTAGGGACTTTCATATAGGTAAATTAGAATCAGTGTCATAGTCAGAAAAGAATTTCTTTTCCAGTGTAAGGAAGAGCTGAGGTTCAATAAAAATCGAAAGGTGGATAGGGAAGGAATAAAGCACACACGAGAGCATGGGTGTGGGCCCTCAAAAGAGTTGCAGTTTATTAAAAACATTTTAAAGACTTATTTTCCTGGTGTGTGTGTGTGTGTGTGTGTAATGTATGTGTAGTGTGTATGTGTATAATGTATGTGTAGTATGTGTGTAGTGTGTGTGTGTGTGTATGTCTGTGTGGTATGTGTATAATGTGTGTGTGGTGTGTATGTGTATAATGTGAGCGTGTGTTTAGTGTGTGTGTGTAGTGTGTGTATGTCTGTGTGTCTGTAATGTGTACAAGTGCCCACATCAGCCGGAAGCAAGCATTGGATGGTCTTTAACACAGTTTTGAGCTTCCTGATGTGGGTGCTGGGAGCCAAACTCCTGTTCTATGAGAGCAGTAAATTCTCTAACAGCTGAACCATCTCCCTCTAAAGACATTCTTAACACTGAGTTTAGTCGTGGAGGTTAGGAGACAGGCTCTCAGGGGAAGAACAAGACTCTTGTGTGAGTATGGACTTCTTAGGGGTGAATAGCAATCCAAATGTCCTAGTGTTGAGCATATATAAGATTTTGGGAAAGTGTTGGATTTCACTGCATAATGGTTTCCTAAAGGACTCTCCCCTCCTACACCACGAGTCACAGGGGTTACAAAAGGATTTTAGAATCTGTCTTTTCTGTAAAAGAGGCTTCTGGTAAGATTTTTAATATATCTCAGTTTTACAGTTGGGAAAAGGGGGAAGGCCTTAAGCAAGTGTTAATTGTTCTGGAGTTCTCAACTCTCAGGGGCCCAGAGGCCTCAACCAGACTCCAACGTGAGAAACTCCTTCCCATTCCCAACGCTCCTATACTTTTCGACATTTTTCTGTCTTGTCTTGTAATTAGGATATTTGAGCCATGTGGTCTTTTAAAATGTGTAAAAGTGTGTAAGCAAGGATTTTTAAATTGACTTGAATTGTACCATTTTGATTGGAGTCTACGGAGGCAGATTATTTGTTTGTTTTGATAAAAAATTGACAATAACAGTGCATATTTTCTAAACTTTTTCAAATGTATGCGGTTTCAGTGCATTCAAGTGTCAATTACATAGACAGCTTGGTAAATTAGTCTTTAGCCCATCTGTCCCATGTACCTGACAACTTTTGTTAGCTAATGAATTTAAAGCCAGCTTGTGTGGGTTCCTTCCCAGATTGCTTACAGTCTGCTAGTTCCTGCCATTACATTTTCTTCCTGCTTTCTGTAAGACTGTCCTTTCTATTATTGATTTCCATAAGTTCCTCAAAACAGATCTTGTAGCCCGGTCACTGTGACAGAAGTATCTGAAAATTATAGCCAATATTTTATAAGTAGTTTCTTGAAAGAAACACTCAGCCTGTTTGGGGTTCATTCATTGTTTTTAAGAGTTCATTTGTTGCTGCTCTTTTTTTTTCATACTTGCCCTTTTATTTCTTATGTAACTGAGTCCATCTAAATATTACGATAACCATACCTGCTGTTCTGTGTACTTCCAAAACTTCAAATATTCCGTTATTGATCACGGTGCCTAAGTCTACATACACAGCGGCAACTGCACTGCATGATTTATCCAGAGAAGCATTGGCCTGTTTTGTGCATGTCGGGTGGGACGGTACATTTTACACTGGTATTAATTCTCATTGGCTGCTATTAAAATTTTCATAAGGAGAGGAAGTTAGAGAAGCATGAAATAGAATCTAAGAGGTAAAGGGGTGGTAAAACTAGAGACTAGAACTGAGTATAGACCAAGCTGTGTAGTAAGACTACAAGACACATTCTCATCTTTACGACTTTATCTAATGCTTTGGGTGCTGAAAGAGAAAGGGGTAGCCAATGCTTTCAGATTGGGTTGCATTTGCTTTCTAATATTGTTTTCTCTTGTTTTAACCTGCAATCAATATAAATAATTGAAAATTACCAAGCACTGAGGCTAGACAGGTGGTTTAGCAGTTAAAAATACTGGTTGCTCTCCCAAAGGACCCAGATTTTAGTACCAGAACCCAAATAGTGGCTCACAATTGTTGATAACAACTTCAGTTCCAGAGAATTCATTCTTGTCTTTGGCTTTTGCAGGCCTCAGACACATGTGTGGTGCACTAATATACATCCAGAGACACCAGTCATGTATATAGCTTTTTTAAAAAAATCAAGCATATAAGTATATCCTGTGTCTATAGAAAGGTTTGACTTAACTCATAGATTTATAGAAGCAGCCAGATGGTGGTGACACATGCCTTTAATCCCAGCGCTTGGAAGGTAGAGGCAGGTGAATCTCTATGAATTCAAGGCCAGCCTGATTTACAAGAACTAGTTCCAGGACAGGCTCCAAAGCTACAGAGAAACCCTGTCTCAGGAAAAAAAGAAAGATTTCTAGAAGCAGATTCCTTACCTCCACTTGTATTTAATATTCATGAAATGTGTACTTCCAAGTCCTCTTCTTCATTGTGATAAACCAAGGATAATGAGCTTCTGTGAATAAAATATTACATAAATACAACAAAACTATATGTTTTAGCTATTTAATATTTATCAGAAAAATTACAATAGCCATAAATCTAAAAGCAACCAGATAAGATCTGATAAAGACAGGAAAAATCTATGTGGGACACCATTGTATCCTTATCGCATGACCATGCAGCTATACTTTTCCCTTAAAAGCCTAATGAGAATCTATGCCTTCCATAACACCTCTTGCTATTAGCACAGATTATTAGTGTCATCCTTAGAAATATCTGACTTGTGATATTTATATCTCTTTGCTTGTTATGGAAACATTACATATGTATGTTTCTGTAACATGTGGGGCTGGCTTGTTGAGGTATCTCTCCCGCCCAGTACCCCACAACCAGCAATTCCCAAAGAAAATAACGCAGAGTCTACATTAGGTTATAAACTGATTGACCCATTAGCTCAGTCTTCTTATTAACTAATTCTTACATCTTACAGTAACCCATAATTATTGTCTATGCTAGCCATATGGCTTGGTACCTTTTTCAGTTGTCAGCTCACATGTTGCTTCCTCAGTGGTCTGGGCAGGAGTGGCAGAGGGAGCTTCCTGCTTCCCAGAATGCTCCCAGTCTCTTTGCTCCACCCTTACTTTCTGTCTGGCTTTCCCGTCTATACTGCCTGCCTGGCCAATCAGCGTTTTATTAAAATATGATTGACAGAATACAGACAATTCTCCCACCCCATGTTTCTTATTTACCTTCAATAGGTCTATGGCCATTCTTTTCCAGGAAAGGGAGTATCTTTATGATATAATAGAGTCTGAAAACATCATATTTGGATATGATTGTCTGATGATAAGATGCCTTGAATATGTTCTTTGGAGAGTAAAACTGTGTTATAAATATTAGAATTACTCATATGTAACTACTAAAGTGTGTAATAAATAAATGAGGTTAAGTTGGTTTCATAAACTTTAATGAGACTGATTTTTATTTTTAATAAAATTCTAAAATTGATCCAGTGAATATCTCTTGTCCCACCATGACCCCTTTCTAGACATTCAGGACATTCCTTTCAGCCCTGTAATTAGAGACTTGGAGTCCTAAAGACTGAGTTATCCTTCCTTGTTTCCTACGGAGCATGTTTAAAGGAACACAGAAGCCCGTATGAGCTTTGTGCCTTTTAAACTGTGTTGGCCTGGTCACTGTTTTTAACAATGACTTGGTGGGATAGGGTTACAGTCATGTGTGCATCTTAATCCTGCAATGATTCAAAGCTTAGAAAAGACAGTGAGTGTATAGGATACCCACATCAGAAAGAGACTCTGTGTTAAGAGGCAATGTGAGTAATAGAACTCCAGTTCAGGAAGACATTACCAGCTAGCTGATATAATCTGAAGTTTATATTATTATAAATATGTTTTCTAAATTGGAGAGGAAATAGCAGCACTTTGCTCTGCACAGATTGGATGCAAGTGGATGATTTACCTAAGTGGACTTTTAAGATGTGTCTCAGGAAGTATGTATCACAAAGAATAAGAGAACATGAAGCCACAGGATGTCTTTAATGGAATAGAAAAACTCTTAGGAAGCATAAGAGAATTTTTAGATATACAAATATTTTACATAAAAATTGAGTTAGATTTAAGGGGGTAGAAAGCCAATTATGAACAGACAAACAGAAAGAAATCATTTGTCAATATCAGGACTCCACAAAACAAATTACTTGGACTAACTAGGTGTAGAAAAACCATCATAAAGGCCATGGTGGGTATTTAATACAGTATTACTCAGATGCATAAAAGCTAGCACCTCCTTTTCTTAGAGTTTCATTACATATGACCTCACTGAAATATGACCTGTTGATTAAAGTTCTGTTTGTTACTGGACCCTGAAAATAGACATTTAGCACATTATCTTGTTCTCTAGGAAAAGCCAATGAGATGGCATGGTGCTGGAGTGTATACATGTGTAGTGCAGGGTGGGCACATCAATCTATCATAATATTGTAAATGCCTTGGTCGTCATAAAGGATGTAATTGAGCAATTACAATCAGAGAAATGAATGTGACATAGAAATCACCATGACATGACGCTACAGTATATGAAGCATTCCGTTTTCTTTTTCAACATACTAGATACTGTTTATATTTGGAATAAAGATAATTGTTTTGGTAAAATTTCACAAAACAAGTCACCAAATCTATGGGAAAGAAGATATGAATTTCTTACAGGATGAAACAAAAACCCTTTGTGATATATCTTTAACATATCTTTGGCTACAAGATTATAAAGCCAACATTCAATTTGTATTTCAATAATTCAACAATTTTTATATGTATACTCATGGTATATTTTGTTCTCTTTCTTTTTAGGGCACTTTGAATCCCTATTGTGTGTTATGGGATGACTCAAAATCGTAAGTGACTGATGTTTTGTGATCTTACATTGGGATAAATATTCAAAGACAATAAGTTTTCTTAGCTATCTGCTAGTGAATGGAACTATAACCCAGTGGGATGCAAGTTTTGCTGTGGTCCATCTCCAGAGCAGAGTGATGGAAGTTTTCGAGATGATGATACCATCAGTTACTTGTGCAGACAGGACTGTAGAATTTGTAAGCAAATGCTATGTGGATTCTTTTTACAGCTCTGAAATTTTAGAATTATTAAAACTCAAATGTTGTTTCGATACTGTGCCTTAGTAATTTAGGTTAGCATCATAGCTGAAAACAGCAATCTCTCTGACCATTTAGCAAAAACATGCAGACAAGGAGTCTGTTATCAGAATAATAAGAAATTTTTATGGATATTATGAAGAGTACTGTTATTAAATGGGGTAATTTTTTAAAAAAATATTTATTCAAATCTTTTATGGATTCATGCAGACAAAAGAAAGTAATGGTACTAAATAAGCGTGGGTGGTTCTTCCTTATATTCCTAGTCTTACCCTTATAATTAATTGCAGCGTCTGGTTAAGGTTGTCATCATTGCAATAATAACTCTGGCATTTTGATGTGGAAAGACAAAAAAGACATAATTAATTCTTAGACTCCTGTGTGTTCCAAACTTTTTTTCTGCTTTGTTTTGTTTTATTTTGTTGAATGGAGGCCCAATAAATGCTAAATGAATCCCACAGATAATGTTGCCAGATGTGCATACTTGAACATTTTCTCAGTGTCATTTACTCAAAACATGATCTATCTCTAAGATTTTTATGATGTTACCGTCCCTCACTAGAGAGTCTAAGGAGGAATGTTGTTAGAATTCCAAAGATCATAATTATGTTCAGCCCTAGAATGCTTCGCGAAATTTTAAATTAATTTTTTTCATGAGGCCAAAGAAGTTAGTAATATTAATTATTTGGGGCATGCTGATATCTTAGGGGTTGTCTTCTTGGAGCCCTAGTGCCATAAGGAGAATCTGAACTCGTGCTGTTGACACCATGGGCACCTACCGGCCTTTTGGTGCTTTCCTTTGGAAAATCTTTTTGAGAAGGCTATGGTAGTAAGATTTTCCATGGCTTTGCTCTTTGGGATATTGCTAGAGAAAAATGTTGGTTGTGTATTCTAAGGAGCAACTTGGAATATTTTGTGGCCAAGTGAATGGTCAAACGCTATAACTGTCTAAATGTGTTCCTACTAAAGAAAGACACAAGAAATTTTAATTTCCTTTTTGTTGCTATTGTACATGTCTGTGAGTAATACGCAGTTTGATTTTCTTCTTTTTCTTCTTCTTCTTCTTCTTCTTCTTCTTCTTCTTCTTCTTCTTCTTCTTCTTCTTCTTCTTCTTCTTCTTCTTCTTCTTCTTTTCTCATTCTCCTTCTCCTCCTGCCCCCCCTTCTCATCCTCCTCCCCCTGGACAGAATATACTTTTATATTTGTACCAAAAATGTGGTAATTAAAGAAAAGAAAAACTCATTAGGATTGCTAATGTGGCATTCCAACATGACAAAAAGCATCCCGAGATTGATACCTTCTTTGAGATTTCTTTTAGAAAGCAGGTGTTAGTTTTAATTTATTAGTCTGTTGGTGTCCGAGGTCAGTGTTAACCTTAGAAAATCAATCATGCTCAATTTTCTCAGCATCTGCTTGTGAGTTGACTCGTACCCACCTCCAAAAAAATCAGTAGCTTGACAAAATTAAGCTTGTGCATGGTCTTTGAGGAGAATGGTTGAAGAGGGTGGGGTATGTTTTCTTGCATACAAAACAAGTCATCTCAGGAGATCAGTATATTTCTGACTTGCTTCCCTGAAAAAATTTGTAAAAGGATCAAAAAGTTTTCCTCTGTGACAAAATTGATCTCATCATACTTTTTACTGGAGTGTTTTCTTGCTAAAATCCTTTCCTAGGTGAGTTTTCAACAGTGAAGAGCAAGGTATTCTATTGCTCTATTCAGTTTTAATTGTACTTTTTGTTAGATTACAATGATTTTAATGATTCGGTGATTGAATCTGAGGACAAATTTTCTAAAGAAAGTTATTAGTGAATAGGTAGTAATATTCCTTTCTATATGAGAGAGGGATGACATAAAAAAATTCATTATTTATTTGTGTGTGTCTTGGGACAGGATCCCACTGTGTAGACTCTGGGTGCCCTGGAAGTGGTTGTGTAGACCAGACTGTTCTGAAACTCACAGATATTCTCCTGCCTCTGTCTCCCAAGTGCAGGGAGTATTTGACCATACCTAGCTTATATGATGATTTTATGATTATGTTAGTGAAGTTGAAATTATAAAATATGTTTTGAATTTGGTTTATCAGATCTCCATCTTTTAAAATTTTTATATTATTTTTATATAAAAACCAGTTCATAATTGTATGTTACTTGTACAACTTTAAACAAACTGTTAGAGCCTGGAGAGATGGCTTAGCAGTTAAGAGCACTGACTGTTCTTCCAAAGGATACAGGTTCAATTCCCAGTACTCACATGGCAGCTCACAATTTTCTGTAACCCCAGTTCCAGGGGGAGTCTAACACCAATGCACATTTTAAAAAAAGTTAAATTAATTTTTTTAAAAAGCTGCTAAGCTAAACAGTCCCATTGATCTCACTTTGGGTCTCCATATCTACCCATCACCAAGGTCACCCCTGCTGTATATAATTTCTGATATCCCTTAATATATTTGTGTGAGTGAATACTATCTTTATATAAGTGTTGTGTGACATAAAGTGTTGTGTGATATAAAAACTATATTTATATAGGTGTTATATTGTATCTAATACTTGAGACTTCAATTTTAAATTCAACTCTCTTGGAAGTGTTTCTATATTGCTATTTCACTGAGTCCCTCATACTGGCTACATAGTATAAACATCTCATAACATATAATATTCTCTGTAGCAAGCTTTTTCATTTTGGGCAACCAACTAGCTCCAATACCATGACACAGAGATTATTATTATTTATGAATAGTCGACCTTATCTCATTTTAATCTGTTCCTCTTCGTCTATTTGTATCAGGGCTTTTTACCTTTCTTTCTGTATGTCTTACTTTCCTTCTTCTCTATCTATATGACTGATGTCTGCCTGCTTCTTGCTCTGGGCATGTCCCTTTCTTTCTCCTGCATTCTACTTTCTCTCTTCTTTCAAGCCTAGATTTCTCCTCCTACCTATTCTTTCTCTGCCCACCAGCCCAGCCTATCCCTGTACTGCCTAGCTATTGGAGGTTGAGCTTTTTATTTCAGCAATCAGATGCCTTAGGCAGGCAAGATGAAACAAATGCAATACATTTTTACATAATTAAACAAATTCAGTATAAACAAGTGTTACACGTCTTTACATGCTAACAAAGGAAGTATAAACAAATGTAACACACCTTCACATCGGTAAAGCAATACTACACAGCATAAACAAACGTAACACATCTTTACATAGTTAAAAATTCCACAATAATTCTCTATTTGTTCCTCATTCCTATGGATGCAGGACGGTAACCTCAGCCACTTGCATTATTGATCTTAGCCATTCCAACAGATCTGGAATCACAAAGTAGTGTTGATTTCCATTTCCCTGATGGCTAAGGATGTTTAACATTTCTCTAAGCGTTTCTCAGCCATCTGAGATTTCTCTATTGAGACTTCTCTGTTTAGATCTGTACCCATTCAATTGGATTGTTTTGTTTTTAATACCTAGTTTCTTGAGTCCTTTATCTATCTTGAATATTAGACCTCTATCAGATGTGAAGTTGATAAAAAATTATTTCCCATTCCGTACACTGCTATTTCCTTATTGATGTTATCCTTTGCCTTATAGAAGCCTCTTAGTCTCATGGGGTCCCATTTGTTGTTTATCTTAGTGCCTATGCTATAGATACGCTCAAAAAGCCTATTTTTGTGCCAATGAGTTCAAGAATATTCCCCACTTTTTCTTCTCTCCGATTCAGTGTATCTGGGTTTACGTTGAGGTCTTTGATCCAAGTGGAAATGAGGTTTGTGCAGGGTGATAAATATATATTTGTATTCTTCTAAATGCAGACATCAAGTTTGATCAGCACAATTTATTTCAGTTGATTTCTTTTTCCCAGCGTGTATATCTGGCTTCTTTATCAAGACTCAGGTGTCCATAGTGTGTGGTTTTATGTCTGTGTCTTCAGTTCCCTCAATCAATGTGCCTGATTTGTGACAATACCTTACAGTTTTTATTACTATAGGTCTGTAGTACAACTTGAAGATATGGATGATGATAGTGCCAGAAGTTCTTTTATTGCTTATGATTGTTTTAGCTATCTTGAGTTTTATGCTTTTCATTATGATGCTGAGAATTGTCCTTTAAAGGTCTATATTGAATTGTTTTGGGATTTTAATGGGAATTGCAGCGAATCTCTTGATTGGTTTTGGTTGGATGGCCATTTTTACTCTTAATCCTATCAATCTATGAGCATGGGAGGTTTTTTTTCCTCTTCTAATATCATCTTCAATTTCTTTCTTCAAATACTTAAAGTTCTTTTAAGTAAATGAATTTATTTATTTATTTTACATCCTACCACAGTTCCCACTCCTTCCTTTACTCCCAGCCCCTCTCCCCCCAAGATGCCGCCTCTGTTCCCAATGCCATCAATCCACTCCTTCTCCATTTTTGTTTCTGAAATGACAGGAATATTGGTATTGAAAGTCTGTTAGAATTCTGAGTTAAAACTGTCTGACCCTGGGCAGTTTTTGTATCTTTGTTTGGTTTGCTTGTTTTGTTTGGTTGGTTTGGTTTTTTTGTTTGTATGTTTGTTTCTTTTTGGCTTTTGTTTTTGTTTTGGTTGAGAGGCTTTTAATAAGTGCTTCTATTTCACTGGGGGGTTACAGGTCTATTTAAATTGTTTACTTGATCTTTATTTGACTTTGGCAAGGGGTGTCTATCAAGAAATTTGTCCATGTCTTAGATTTTCAAATGATGGCATTAAGGTTGTTTTTAAAGTATGACCTTGTGA